TTTGGAACGAAGCAAAGAAACTGTCAACCATGCGCAGTCCAGTTGTTACACCTGTAACAGATACACAATCTCTCAGCTTCAAATTTCAGAAGAACAGATGAAGTCTACGGTGGCCCACAACTGTCACGGTAAAACGGTCAGCATTAGATTCCATCCACCAAAACCACCTAGGTCGAGAGGGACTGAGATGGAATATTTAATGACTTGCAAAACATAACCGAAGATTCTCGGAAATCCGCAAGTGATGTAGCCGAACATCAAAAGCTGTAAATCCCATGATTCTTGAGGAACAAACAGAAACAGCATAGCGAGAATTTTAAGTCGCGAACCATTGACGGTAGACATGCAGATAATTTAGGATACGTAAATTCTGTTGATGAGGCGCATAAACTTATTGCGGAATTTGAAACAGGATTGACGACGAAGTTTTCTTTCTTTAAAGCTGTCAAAGGTTTCGGGAACACATATGTATATTGATATAGCTCTTTAGCATTACAAAGCTTTGCTATCGCTATTGTGCATTCTCACTAGTTTATCTAGTTCAAGTCCTCTGGCATGGCTTGGATGATACCACAATTGTGGAATCATTCGGGTTAATTTAATGCTTACACCTCCTTCCTCGGACAGAAGTCACAAAATACTGGGGGAAGATGCATGAGATATTTAAGGAGCAAAAATTCGTTTTTTACTGGTGTGCCTTTCCTAATTTTGGGAAGGAAAGTGTTCAATTGCCAGCACGGCATAGATAGAACAGCTGTAGAGAAAAGGAAACGAAAAGATGCAGAAGAAGTACTGTATATAATAATTTCTTTTTATCCTCAACCTTTGTGTTTCTGTCTACTATGGCTTGCTAATTCGAAAGGTCAAATACTTGAATGTGTCATATGACATTGATCTCAGAATACTTTTATGACAAACGTGATAACAGTTCAATCTTGGCTAAATTGAAGATGGTTTAGAAGTTAACAATTATAAGAACTTTACTAACATATGCTGCTGACAAAGGAGAAAATATATGCAATTCTGCATTTTTTGCTTTCTATCAAGCAATCATATGTTTGCTCCTTATCCCGCTATGACACTTCCGTTTTGTCACATTCCAAAAAATAACTTGAGAAATACACTGTCACTCAACTTACACTGTTATATTTACCTATTACAGAAGGCTGGAAACAAAGATTTTGTTTTCAAGAAAATAAGATTTCTTGTCCAAGACACAAGGAAGTTTGACTGCAAAGCACAGATGAAAATGCGAGAAATTTTTTTTTTTTCAGAGAACAAGGTAGTTCTACTCATGTATAAACAGAACAAATCCAATTTAATAAATCAGATATGCGGCATGACTCCTTTTCTTCCATCCCCACTCAAAACAAGCAAACACACCTATAGAGGTTCCAGTCTGGTCTGCAAATGAAAAGGAGGAAGGTGATCACTGCAAAATTAAGCATTAGGGTTCTTATTCATAACATACTGATTATTGTATACTGATATCTAGAAATTAAGGTTGCAAGTAGCAGCCAGCTGAGTTATAGTTTGAGTTTTATCAAGTCCATTACTTTGTTAAATTTAGAGTAACCTTGTCTTGAGAGAGGAAAATTGAGGAGCTGTAATATACTTATCATCAATTAGGGACCACAAAGAAAAATTTATTTATAGAGACTTTTGAAGGAGAGGGGGTAAGACTTGTGACAAGCTGGCAGACATATAGATAAACTTTACTGCTAAATGGGTTACAATACAAAGTGCTCAGTATTTGGATCAGCTATGGCTCAACTTAAACTTTGCTTTAGCTTCAAGTTTAATCCTTTGTGGTTTCCTTTCTCTGTGTTTATTTTTCACGTTATGTACACAGAAGAACACAAAAATGACAAGGAATGCTTTTGAATATTAAGAGGCTGGAATAAGCAAGAAACCAAAACTGAATTTTAAACAGTACAAAGTTAATTTGATCTTCCAATGTTATTTAATTTTAATCATTAATAGAATTTGCTATTTAAATATATTCCCTCCATTTTTCTGAATATTGTGAGCAAAAACAAACAATTATCACAAAATGCATGGTATAAAATGGTTTGATTCACCAATGTGGCAAAGGCCTTTCACTGTCTATCCATAAAAAGGGAAATAGTTTGTAAAATGTAAGACATTCTGCATCTTGAGCGTATACTTATTCATCCAAGGTTACTTGAAATAAATATGAAAGATTTATAGGATTTTCAGACCCCTGATAACAATTATTAATGTGCTGATTTGTTGTACTTAAAGGTTATGATTTTAGCGGAAATAGTGGAAGAAATTTCTGGACCTGGAATTTTGTTGCAAATGTCTGTTTAAATCAGTTTAAGTCAGTTAAAAACTCTCCTGTTTCAAGATTACATGATTACCACACCAGAACCTTTTGTATTTTATATTGTGCACCATGTTATGATTATTGTTTCAATAATAAAAGGTGCTGACTCAAGAACTTTGCAAAATATCTCTACATACAAAGAAATAGATTGTGGTTATGTACTCCAAATAGCAGGTCACATCAGTCTTCTGTAAGGAAGTAGCAGAAATTGCTATGGTGGTTTTGGTGGATGGAGAGAAACATCCACCAAAACCACTTTATTCTATGTGTTAAGAGTTATGATAATCATTATGAACGTTTGGTCGGTCAGCAATTGTGCACCATAAAAAAATAATTAGCCAGAGCACTAACTGCTAATTAGTGGTATAAATCTTTTGTCTCCCTGAACATCTAACAGTGGCTATAGATAAAATTTAAAAAATATATTGTTGATGGTTTTGGTCAAAGTTTTGGTGGATGTTCCCTAATGACATCCACAAAAATTACGTAACATCTGGGCACCTTTTAAATACGTGAAATATCTGCATAAAATTGCGTAAAATGTTTTATAATACTACAATCGAACAATAAATTAATACTTACCATTTCTTGAGTAAAAAGTTTTGACGCAATTTCCCAAACAAATGATACACTTAGGTCATCGGGATAAGTCGGCATGTTGTCGTAGCTTCGTAATTTTCATTTAGTATAACAAGTCATGAGTTGTCCATCATTCCATCTCAGTCCCTCTCGACCAAGGTGGTTTTGGTGGATGGAATCTAATGCTGACCCGGTAAAACAAAGAAAACGAGTTAGTCAGCGGTTGTTATTTGCATCTCAAATAGTATGTCGTGTAACGTTAACACACTGCTCGCTTGAAAAACCGCCATTTTTCGAACTTACGATGTTTTGCACCACGTGTGGTTCTGTTGTAGATGAAGATGCAAACTTTATAAAAGCTGTGGTAGAGGTACGTTTCTTAATTTAAAGTGTTCGTATTTACATTTCTTTTAGTTCCAAATAACGATAGGCGTGAGAAGACACTGCTACATCTGATTAGCATGTTTCTGGAATAAGATTGTGCATGTAGCCTGTGTGTAAAAAGAAAACATTCATAATGTACAGGCCTTGATGAAATAAGGATTTTTCAACAGGTGGAAAATACTCTACGCCTGCAAACAGTCAGAGAGCACGCGGTTAAAGGCCAAAACATTCCTGATTACTTCCAAAATCATTTATCTTGAGTTTTATTGAAAGATGTTAAACAGACTTAAGGAAATAACACTGTTTAAAGTAAAGTTTCCTCTGAGGTGTAAGCTACATTATTTTGCTTCATTGTTTTTTTCTTTCCACCTGGTGAAAAATCCTTAATTCATCAAGGCACATTTTCACTGAAAATCGGTTGCCAAAATTATTTGTTTAGGTGTTCTTTTGATTTTCGTGTTAACCTGTAATTTCGTCAGTCGCCGGCACCTTTTGTTGCTTCACACAGAAAAAACACACAATACAAAATGTAGTGATCGATTTTGTCCCCAAACTCACGCCATAACAGAAAAAGCTTTTGAACACCTGTAAACTCTAAGCGCTTCGGAGTAAGTGATAATTTTAATGAATCTTCGGATTGTTTTCAAGTTCGAGGATTGTTAATTACAATTTTACGAAAAACCAAGGTTGTTCTCTTATTTCATTGTGAATCCTCACACGCCTGCCAGTCGCTGGCGCCGCTTATTGAAACTAAAACGAATAAATATAAACTCTTTTAAGATTATCATTGGCTTCTTTTTCACCCCACCACTATTCTTGGCAACAAAGGTCGCCATTTCGTTTGCTTACTGTTACACGACCTACTATTTCAAGTGCAAATAACAACCGCTGACCAACCCGTTTTCTTTGAACTGTCGGGAGTTAATTTTGTTTTGTCGCGAGTTAATTTTGTTTTGCCGTGAGTTAATTTTGTTTTGCTGTGAGTTAATTTTGTTTTTCCGAGAGTAAAGTTTGTAGTGCCGTGACTTTTTGTTTTGCCGTGACAGTTGTGGGCGACCGCAGAGCCACCGCACAGTTCAGAAATGAAACTGTGACAGTAACCGTAGCAAATATTCACACAATTGAGAAAGTAGAAAGATTCATTGCATGCTTGAAACTGTGCGAAAAGAATTCTGCAAGGAATTTCACGTAAAGTAGTACACTGTGATTGGTGTGGACACTCAGGGTTTTCATTAAGAAACGTAGTAGCAGGAGAGTAGTGTAAAGTAACAGGAGATGGTGAGGGAACGAGCTTTGCTCGTTCCCCTCTAGGGGGGTTTGGGGGTATGCCCCCCCAGGAAATTTTGGATTTTAAAATCCTCTGGGATGCCATTTCCTGTTATCTGACAGCAAATTTCATTTCTCTCTAGCTGACGAACAAAAACAATGCATGCCTTAAAATGTTGTTTTGTCATTTGAATTTAAATCAAACAAGTAAAGTAAAATTAAGCTTTAACTCTTTTACTCCTAGAGTGTCATACGGCTTTGTCTTTTCAAGTACCAAACATTATACCAAAGTGTGAACATTCAAATGAAAGCTATTTCTCAATGTTGCAAGCTGAAGTTCAATATTTTTTCTTGGGTGCTTTCAGTAGTGAAAGGGTTAACTCTATTCGTCAACTCCTCTGTCTCCACTGTCATCAGTCGC